GGACTCCTGGGTTCTATCCCCAGCACTGGGAGGGTAGTGGGATCTAGTGGTTAGAGTGGGGGTGGGGGGGAGCGAGCCAGGACTGGAGGGCGTGGGAGGGGAGCGAAGGCGCTGGCAGGCTGGCAGCTGAAAGGGCGCCAGCGGGCGGAGGCTGGCGATGGCTCAGCAGCCTGGCCGCCGACCAGCACAGCAGGGGTTAACGGTCGCCATGGTGACCTGCCAGGCTCTGGTACCTCGAGCTGCAGTGCCCGCAGAGAGCCTGGCTATTACGGGGGGGGGGAGTAGGAGAAAGAGATGTGTGGGTATTCTGTCCCCCACCCCCCAGTGCTGGAGTATGCATGCGGGGGTGTGTGTGTGTGTGTCCTTTAGGTGGCCTCCCCCCCAGTGGTTGCCCCCAGGGGAGAGAACCTGAGACTTTATGCATCCCCCCCGCCCGTCCCGCAATGCAGCCTTTACGCCCAGGAGGCTGGGTTCCCACTGCAGAGGGGGTCTTGGCCTACACACACACAGAGTCTGACAAGTCCCCCCCCCACCCCAGCAGGGGGCAGCATTGAGGGGTCCCCAGGCGCTGGTCAGCCCAGAGCTGCAGGTGGAGATGGGCTGCCGGGCGAGATGGGCCCCCTCGGTCTGTGCCCCTTGGAGTCTCATGAGGGCAAATCAGCGTAAAGGGGTGGAGGGATTTGGGGTCCTGGGTTAGGGTGGGTGGGGGCCGGAGGGAAGGAGTTGGGGGGGCAGAAGGGTTGGGGAGGCAGCGGGGGAACATCTGGATGCATGATAGAGGGGGAGTCGCCCAGTTGTGGGGAAGCAGCTATGCTGGGCGGGGGGCGGGGCTGGGGAGCAGAATGGGGGTATGGAAGATGGGGCATCACCTGGCTGTGGGGGTTACATTGGAGGGGGCCGGTATTTGCTGGCGCCCCCCCCGATGAGGAACACCCCCCCACCCCAACAACTGGGGGGAGGGGCAGCATGAAACACTCAACTTTGGCCCAGCCGGGTACCTGAGCGGCGCTGGGACCCTGTGCACTAGGCCCCAATGCCCAGAACTGAGCCCAGCCAACCCCTTGGCACATTCCGGCCACCCCATTTTGGGGCCTGGCCCATGGGTTGAGAACCCCTGCTCGAGAGAACATGCAGGATTTATGGCATTGCTCTAGAATGGTGCCATGTTCAAGGTGCAGATGCCTTGCTCCAGAATCCTGCAGTGTCATGTGGACTTGCTCTAGCATGGCCCATTATTTGGCTCTATTGCTCCAGAACACCGTGGTGTGGGGATCCCTTGTTCTAGGGTGCTGCAATATGGGATCCCTTGTTCTAGAGTGCCGGGGCATTGGGATCGGGTGCTCTAGAGTGCTGCGTTATTGGGCTCCCTTGTTCTAGAGCAGTGGTTCTCAAACTGTGGGTCGGGACCCCAAAGTGGGTCGTGACCCTGTTTTAATGGGATCGCCAGGTCTGGCATTAGACTTGCTGGGGCCTGGGGCTGAAGCCAGAACCCCGCAAAGCCCAAGGGCTTCAGCACTGAGAGACGGGGCTCAGGTTACAGGCCCCCTGCCTGGGGCTGAAGGCCTTGGGCTCTGCCCCCACCCCAGGGTAGCAGGGCTCAGGTGGGCTCAGGCTTCAGTGCTCCTTCCTGGGGTGGTGTAGGAATTGTTGTTGTCAGAAGGGGATCGCGGTGCAATGCAGTTTGAGAACCCCTGCTCTAGAGCACCACGGGGACTGGGATATCTTGCTCTAAAACGCTGTTATGTTGGGATCTTGCACTCGAGAGCATTGAGGATTGTGACCCTGTGCTCTAGAGTGACGTGGTTTGATCGCTCAGATTCACAGAACCACGGGGTCAGAAGGAACGGCAAGGGTCGTCTCGTCTAACCCCCCGGCCAAGATGCAGAATTTGTTGGGTCTAAACCATCCTGGACAGGTGGCTCCAGACTCCCTTTGAAAACCTCCAATGAAGGAGCTTCCACGACCTCCCGAGGTGTCTGTTCCACTGTCCTTCTATTCTCACGGTTAGGAAGTTTGTCCTGAGATTTAATCTAAATCTGCTCTGCTGCAGTTTGAACCCACTGCCTCTTGTCCTGCCCTCTGGCGCAAGAGAGAGCAACTTTTCTCCATCTTTTCTAGCACAGCCTTTCAAGCGTTTGAAGACCGCTGTCATGTCCCCGCGTAATCTCCTCTTTTCCAAACTAAACATACCCAGTTCCTTCAGCCTTTGCTCACGTGGCTGCATTCCTGCCCTTTGATCATCTTTGTCGCTCGCCTCTGGATACTTTTCCAGTTTCTCCACATCCTTTCTACACAGCGGTGACAGAACTGGACACAGCACTCCCGGCCTGCCCAGCGCCGAGCAGAGCGGTACTCTCACCGCCCGTGACTTGCACGCTGCACCTCTGTTAATGTAGCCGAACATTGCATTTGCTTTTGTTTTGCAATGGCATCGCGTTGCTGACTCATTTTGAGGCCGTGATCTACCACAACTCCCCGATCCGTATCAGCAGTGCGGCTGCCAAGCCAGTGAGCCCCCATTCTGGACTGGTGCATTTGGTTTTTCTTCCCTAAGTTTAGCCCCTTACATTTGTCTTTGTCGAGTTTCGTTTTGTTGTCCACAGACCAGTTCTCCAATGGATCAAGATCCCTCTGAATTTTAGCTCGAACCTCCAAAGTGTTGGCAACCCCCCCAGCTTTGTGTCATCTGCAGATCTGATCGGTCTGCTCGCTAGTCCCACAGCCAGGTCATTAATGAAGATACTAAACAACACTGGACCCAGAACAGATCCCTGTCGAACCCCACTTGAGATCTCCCTCCAGTCTGACATCACTCCATTAACGGTTACTCTTTGTTTGCGGTTGTCTAAGCAAGTCTGTATCCGCTTAATGGTAGCTCTGTCGAGCCCGCATTTCTCCACCTGACGTAGCAGAATGTCCTGTGGGACTGTGTCCAAAGCCTTGCTGAAGTCCAGGTGTATTATGTCCTCTGCATTCCCCCCATCCACCAAAGCAGTTACCCCATCAAAGAAGGGAATCAAGCTGATATGGCATGATTTGTTCTTAGGAAATCCAGGCTGGCTGCCGGTGATCACCCCTTCATCCTCCCGGTATTTGCAAATGGCATGTTTTTGCACAGGTGTGCACATGTCTTGTGCTAGCATGCCTCGGGGTTGGGATACATTGCTTTAGAGCGACGTGACATTGTGGTATCTTGCTTTAGAGTGCCAGGGTATTGGGAATCTATTGTTCTAGAGTGCTGCGGAAGTGGATATCTTGCTGTAGCGTGCCGCAGGATAAGAATATATTCTAGAGCGCTGCAGTACTGGGGTATCTTGCTGTAGCGTGCTGCGGTATTGGGATCTATTGTTCTAGAATCTAGAGCACCGCGGTGTCTGGCGCTAGAGTGCCGCATCATTGGGGTCTATTGTTCTAGAGTGCTTCCGAATTGGGTAGCTCGCTCTGGAGCGCTGAGGGATTGGGATATATTGCTCTAGCATGACGTGGTATTGTGATAGCTTGCTCCAGAGCACTGCAGTTTTGGGATCCATTGTTCTGGAGCACCGTGGCATGAGGATATATTGTTCTAGAGCACTGAGGTAGTGGGACCTATTGTTCTAGAGCGTGGTGGGATTGGGATCCCATGCTTTAGAGTGCTGCAGGATTGGGTATCTCGCTCTAGAGCCCTGCGGGATTGGAATATCTTGCTCTAGAGCGACGTGGCATTGTGATTTCTTGCTCCAGAGCGCTGCAGCTTTGGGATCTATTGTTCTGGAGCACTGTGGTATTAGGATATATTGTTCTAGAGCACTGAGGTATTGGGATGTATTGTGCTAGAGTGCTGCGGGATTGGGTATCTCGCTCTAGAGTGCTGCAGGATTGGGAATCTCACTCTAGAGCACTGTGGGATTGGGATATCTTGCTCCGGGATCTATTGTTCTGGAGCGTGGTGTCACTGGGATCTATTGCTCTAGAGCGATGCAGCATTGGGACCTATGGGACCAGAGCGCTGCAGACTCGAGGCTCGTTGCTGTACAACACGGCTGTATTTGCCTGACTCACTCCAGAACATGGGGGTTTGCTAGCACCTTGCTCTAGAACGCAGGATTTTTTGGGGGGAGGCCCCACAGCCTGTCACGCAGTGGAGGGGGAGGGGGCGGGGCTCTCAAAGTGCAGCACAGCACACGGCCGGCTCCGAGCATTCCCGTTGGCATGGCGACCGGAGCTGGAGGCGGGTGGGGGAGACCGGGAGGGGGAGGGGGAGGCAGCGGCTGCTGCGGCACAACGTATGACATCCCCGTCCCTGCACAGCCGCACGCCGCCACACGTTCCCAGCGCATGTGATGCACGCGCACGGCGCACACACGGCGCACATGCCTGACACGGCACACACGCCTGATACATGCGATGCATGCACAGGGCGCACACGCACGAGACACATCTTGCATATGCATGCCACGCAAATTGGTATGCAGGTGTCTGACACACAGGATGCACACACGAGACACAAACACGGTGCGTGCACATGCATGACACACCTATACATGAGACACAAACATGGTGCATGCACACACGACGCACACCCATGAGACACGAACTCAGTGAATGTCAACACAAGGCACAACCAGGAGACACAAGCACAGTGCATGCACATGATGCACACGCATGACACATGCATGAGCACATACGGTGCACAGTTCAAAACTTCCTAGTGTCTAAGGCCAGCAGGGCTCCCTGTGATCAGCCAGTCCTGTATGACGCAGTCCAGAGGACGTCCCCGGAGTACTTCCCGTTTGAACTAGACCATGGCTTTTATATGTGATTTAAAACTCACCATGGCTGGAGAACCCACCAGGACCCGGGGTGACTTGTTCCAAGGATGAATTCCCCTCCCTGTTCAAAACTGACGCCTTATTTCCAGTTTGGCTTCGTCCAGCTTCGACTTCCAGCCACTGGATGGAGTTAGCCCTTGGCCTGCCGGACCGACGGGCCTTCTGTGTTCACATGGCTGTTCCCCCACAGAGGGGCGGATCCCCTGGGATCATGCTACATGCGTGATAGACGTGAGCACGGGCACCCGATGCTCGCACGATGCACCTGCATGTGAGAGACACACCCGGGGCACGCAGGGGAGGCATGCATTGACCACACCCAGTGCACACCGAGAACACGCACACACACACACAGAACACGCCAAGAGATTGTAGAGCACAGCTCATATGACACACACCCAGAAGCCAGCAGGAAATATCCATCCAGCCACCCAGCCTCGTCCAGTCCCTCCAACCTCTCCCTTCCCGCACGCCCCCCCATCCCACCTCTTTGTGCCCCCTCCCCTTCTCCCTGTGCCCCCTCCCTTCCTGCCCCCCACCTGCTTCCCCTCCCCATCCCACCTGCCTTCCCCCGAATTGTGTCCCCTCCCCTCCTTCACCCCATCTCCCCTCCCCATCATCCCTCCCCTCTACTCCTGCACCCCGTCCCACCTCTCCTCTCCTTCACCCCATGTCCCCTCCCCTCATGACCCCCCATGTTCCCTCCCCTCTCCACTTGCACCCCATCCCACCTCCGTTCCCCCTCCCCTCTCCTTCACCCCACCTCTCCTCCCCTACCCCATGACCCCTCCCCATATTCCCTCCCCCTCTCCTCCTGCACCACATCCTCCCCCTTTCCTTCCCTTTCTGAACCCCATCCCA